AGCCGGGATGCCGCGCGTGAGTGCTGTAGACCCCGTCGCGGAGGGAGCCGGTGGGGTTTCGGCTGCATCACAAAGCCGAGAGCTAGCGGCGTCTCCCTTGCTGGGGTCGGGGGCGCAATCCCACACACAGGAGCACCGGCGCTGGAGTTCATGGATGTTGAAAAGGATGCTGAGGATGTTGACGCGCTAGTGTACGTTGCGCACATTTTGTGAGACAAATGCTGTAAACAACTACATTTTACTGGCCAAGACGAAAAGCAAACAGAAATCAACAATAACGCAAAAACCACTCCTAAACTAAATCTCGACCCATTCTTATTTTTGCCAGACGGCTGCAGGAAAATGACCCCATGCTGAGCATATCCTGTCGTGTGGCTGCATCCCTGCTACCCACCCACCCCGCGAGAATTGGAGTGCAGGCGGCAGCCCCACAAAAACGGTGAACACGAGCTACCAGTTCGGGCCGCTCACCACTGGAAGTGAGGCTGGGGGATCTCACTCAGGAGCAGCCGAGAAGCTACATGTTCTGGGGCCAACCTAAGTGCTGGGGTCTCTGCAGTTTGCTGGCGCACTACGGCTTGCATCCCTGTTTGTGGTTGAAAAGGGGTGTTCTCCAGAATGCCTTGCGCCAGCATGAAGCGTTGGTGTCCAGGTGTGTGCGGTGCGTGGGCGCGGGTGGTGGTTGTGCGTGCGTGTCGGTGTGCTAGCATGCGCATGTGGGCAAGGTCGGGCCTTTGGGCTTTGCCAATTTGCCTGCACCTGTACGTGTTTGTGTTTGTGTGTGTATGCCTATGCGTGTGTATGTTTTGTGAGCTTGGCGAGCTTGTGTCCGCCTAGCATATTCCAGCGGTTGGCAACGGATTCCAAGGGCTCCCTTTGGTCACCAACTGGCACAATGCGGCAAAGTGGCTAAGAAACACGGTGGCGGCAGTACTGTCAGCAGGCATGTGGATGCGCAGGATGCTTGGCGATGGCCTTGCACCCTGCAGGTGCCTGACTATCTTTTTCACGCACCCGCCATTTGCAACTCCATCATGCCCGGCTGCGAGAATGGGCGCGGAGTGGAGCCAGTCGCCATGGACTCTTGATCCGCCAGTGTCTCTGTTGTTGTTTGCTCAGAGGGCTGCGTCACGGGTTTGCGCGTCTTGGTTTGTGTGGTTCGCTCCGGACCTTTGACGCAAGGAAGCGTACGTCTTCCATCCCAACCTCTCAGCGCAGGATTATAACATTGAGGACAGGTTCTGGTCTTCAGGTTTTTTTGATTGACCTTTTGCCACACAGCCTCAACACACCCTTTCGCACAGGACCAAAATGTAGCAGATCTTCATGGTGACGCGATCTTTATTTGCATGGACTGTTTGCAAAATCAGTCCTCCTTCATTGATCACAATTACACCCTGCCACTCGACTGCAAGTGCACGGAAGCCTAATGCTCCATGCTGCAGATTGTTCGTGGCGGTGGGGCCATTCAGTGGCTTAAACCCCCAGGCGTATGCAATATTTGACTTCCCTCACGCTTTTGCATGGGCGCATTTGGCGATCTCCACAGAATCCAGCAAGCCAAGGATCTCCCGCTACATCCTGGAAATATCGCCTGCCTTCGGACAGCAGCTTGGCTTGCCGAGCTGCTCGGCAGGCTCAACTGCCCGCTTTCTTGGCTCGAGGTACGCGATGTGCAATGGCTATCCGGAGTGGAGCTTAGTGGCGCTTGTCACGGGTGCTATGTGAGTTTTGCATTGCAAGCGCAAACTTGGGATGCGTGTTCAGGGCGGGCTTCAAAAGGCATGCCCTTTGCCTCTGCGTCTTTGGTGCGAGGACACGGTTCCACCGGGCCCTCATTGCGTCGGTGGTGATCCTCGCCTTGTGGGCAAGGAGGCTCCTTTCTTCGCTGGCCCTGGAGAGAGCAGGCCCGGCTTCAACCTCCGCGGCCTGCTGCAGATGTGACGGCCCTTCTCCCACTCTTGTCTTTGGATGCCGGTAACCTATGGGAGTTGGGCTCACTTCGCACCATGGTTTCGCAAGCAGCCAAGCATTCTCAACCAAACAGCATGTGCGCCTTTCTTGGTAGTAGTCGAAGCTTGTTTACCCAGCTACCCTTCATTTGGTTGGGAAGATATCGAACTTTCTCGGGCACTTCGCTGTTATTGTTAGCTGCATTTCTGGCGCTTGCCATTTCTTACGCCCGGACATCTCTGGTTCGTTCAGGTGCGCATCCGACAGCCCCATCGGGTTCTGGTATGGCCTGCCAAAAGGCGGGCGCTGCCCACCAGGCCAGTCGCCCAGCAAGGATGCCTGGGCTGGTGGCTGCACCTGGGCGGTCAAGCAGCGCCTGAAGACCATCGATCAGGCGAGGCTTTCAGCCGGAGATACCCCCGCCCCGGGCAGCCCTATGTCAGGAGTGCCTGATGAAGGACCACGACTACCTCCAATTCTGCAATGCAGACGCCCTTGAACAGAAAGGCTTTCCCAGGACACAATCGGCATGTGCGTTTTTGCGAGGCTTCTGGAGTAGAGGAAAGAGGAAAGATGAGATGTTGGTAGCAGAATTATGTAGCATAATTATGTGGGGAGCTTGTGCCTGGCGGCTCTACTGGCCGCATGAAATGTAAAAAGTTCCCGGGTTTAGCGGCTTCCAGCGAAGTTTGCCACAAAGCGAAAAGTCATTGCAGCAACCTGTGCACGCACCAGGAGCGCAGAAGCTCTTCTTGCCGCCTTTTCCTCCGAAGTAGCTTGTCTGCAGCTGGGCAGGGTGTTGCCTAGTTGTAACAAGAGCAGCAATCGAGCAGTCAGAATGCCAAGGATAAATCCAAGGGAGGCTGTGCTGATGTTGGTGGACCTGATGCAGCAAGCCATGAGACTAGCTTCATTGTTTGAACAGAGTTCCTTCGACTGAAGGTAGGCCCGGCTTTCTTGTTGGTTAGCTGCGTGCGTTGCCAGACTGCACTTGCACAGCTGAGCGGCTTCTGGTGCGTTTGCATGAGATGGTTGGCGCGGCTGCTTCCTTCTGCTTGGGAAGGGACAAGCTGAGCCCAACATTTCTGAGCCTTGCGCCGGTCTGTGGAAAATGGGATGAGCTGTTGAATTTGTAGCTTTCCTAGCCTTATTTGCCAGTCTTGCACAAAGCTTCTCGCCCCTGGCGGCACATTCCTCTTGGTTGAAGCGCGTGGCTGCTTCCTCAGTTTTCGCCGGTAGCAGACATTGTCACAATGCGCGGCGGCGCTGTCCAAAATGGCCGTCAACCCAACTCTTGATACGGTAAGCTGTCAGATCGTTTGCATGTATTTCAAAAACGTTGTGCAGGAAAAGGCTGCTATGCAGAATCTGCCGGAGGACAGCCGGTAGGGCCCACATGCGTTTTTCACAGCTTCATCGCCCTTATTGCGCACTTCGTGTAGCTTTTGGATCCATGGAATTGCGCGCGAAGCCCTGTTCGCTGGTTGCATGGCGCTGCACGTCCATCCCTTTTGTTCGAGGAGCTGGCAAGGTCCCGGCCATCGCTCCTAAGCTGCAGCTCAGTCAGGTTTTGGGCGGCTGACATAGCCTTCGTTGGCTACCTCCAAAAAGAGTTTGCAAGCAGGCGAGCCAATTCCTCGTCCTGTGCAGATTAATCTGCTAGTCTGGTGGCTGGTTTTGGCAGCGGCAGTCGCTGAAATGTTGTCCTCGGCGCAAGGGTGGGGCGGGGTGGGGGACAAAACTGGGATTTTGCCCTGACGTTTGACAAGGCATGGCCCTTAGAACAAAGAAGCGGGCTGCAACAACAGACGGCCTTTGAGAGAGCGCAGGGAAAGACAAACGGGATAACATCCGATGGCTGCAGAATTCAGCTGACTTTAGAGGTTTTGGGCGTTTTTGGCAATCGTGTTCTTCAGGCAGGCGGTCAAGGCAGGCTGTGCTTGGTAGAAGGCGGGCATGAGCTGCCCGCAATGCAGGTTAACAACTTTTCTTTTGTGTGCCAGACCCCCCCGCCACAGGCAAGCGCTTTGCACGTCAGACTGGCTTTCCGATGAGGGCTCCCCTTGGGCTTGCTTTGGTTGAGTTAGCATGCGCGTTGGTAGTGGGTCCAGCACTGCTTGGAGCCTTTCTTGTTCGAGCATTCTTGTTGGCCTTGATTCTTGTACAATCCATGAAGTTAACTTTTTGCAGGAGGATGGGTTATTTGTTGGCGTGTTTTTGTGTTCCCTTTTTGTAGGTGCTCGTTGGCGCAAGGCGCCCCTTTCAAAAGGCAATCCTCATGGCCCATGGGCCATCCACGACCCTGGACAATGGTATTCAAGCCTGGCCTGGGAGCTCCGAGTGCATTTCAGGCCGATGAAGATGATTGCAAGCTGGGCGTGTCCCTTTGCGAGCTTTGATTAATCAAAGGCGCCGATAGATTTAGTTTCCAAGCAAAGGCTGCGGCTGCGTTTTTTTCCTCCGCGTGAGCAAGCTTGGCGTATTGCTTGCATAGACCCGGCATGAGCCGGCATGCTGATTTGGCATTTCACAGCTGGCAACCAGCCGGCATCTAATCCTGGCACACTTGGCTGTCTGCAGAGCAGTCATTGCCTTGTGGCCAAATCTTCATTTGATGATGGCTTCCAGTTTGATTTGGCCTGGTTTGGCCAGTTTCATATACATAATATACATGGTGTTTTTGGGCTTCTTGCGTTTCAGATTTTGTTTGTATTCACGTATGGCAGAAATAGGAACGTGTGATACCATGCATTAGTTAGAAGCGCGTGCGTGCTTTCGCTGAAAGGGTGCGTGCACGCCGCTGAACTTTTTTCTTTTGTTTTCCTCCTGTGCACAGACTGCCCAGGCGCAGTTTCTTCCAGTGAAGGCACAGTTGTGTTGGGGTTTGGTACGGTTTTGACAGGACCTTTCGAACAGTGAAACTGCGCGGCCCGCCTTCCATTTGAAGCCCTGGATGGCGAGAAAAAGTCGGCGCGGGACATGTGGCACCGTTAAGTCGCATGTCCACAAGAACAAGAGAGCCCCCGCCTTCGAGATGGCGCCTTCAGGATCGCACCTTCCTGATGGCAGCAGCGGTTGTGCACGGCTGCATCATGCAGAGGCTCTCAAACGAATGGCTGTGGCTCAAAAAATGATACCTAAAATGGCACCCTTGTAAATGGAGCCAAAGACCAAAACCCGTGTAACCCTAGCTCTTGAATTTTGAGCCACACCCGAATGGCTTCAGGCACTGCAGGCGTGTGGCTTGCCTGCCAGGAGCATTTTCTCCGATGCCTTCTTGACGCCCACGCCTCAACTCTACGCCTCTCCCGCCCAAATTGGATCCGCATCTCAAGCCGAAGGAGTGCCCAGCTGCTTCCGGGCAAGCGGGCGAAGGGGGAAAAGAAGGCGGCGAAGGCGGGCTACTTTCGCATCCCCCGGCGCACTTGGGCAATGGGCTACGCCAGCCAGGCAGTTGAACGATTCCCTTTCTTTTCTTTTTTTTTTAAGAGAGAGAGAGAGAGAGAGAGAGTGTGTGTGCGTGATTAAGAGCTTGAGCCTGGCAGGGTGGCTCAGACTTGCCAGAGCCCTTGATGCTCCTGCTGCAGGCTTCGCAGAACTTGAGACATAGAGACACCAACGCGCTGCACGCGCGGCCACGAGCGGAGTGGCGCTTTCGGACGAGAGTGAGAGCAGGCCATCCAAGAGCGGACGAGCTGGCAGCCTGCGCCCTAACCAAAGATGTTCTGAACACGAGTGGTTTCGGCATTTACGGGTGCAGCCAAGCCAACGACATTGATTCAGGCTACTTCCTTACATGGCCCTGGAAGAGCCCTCAGCTGTGAGCACTCATGCTAGTTTCCAATGCCTTGGGACAGCGGATGCTTTCGCCGAACAGGCGCGCATGCTGCTTGAGATTGTGCATGTCCAGCACTCAGCTTGTTTGTAGGAGTTAGGCGTGCCATTGCCGTACCTCTTTTGCTTGTCAGCGGCACGGCCCACTCTGCCCATACGAGCCAGAGGCCGACATCATGCCCTCTGCAGTTCATGAGGCAGCCCACAGGCTCGCTGGTGCCTCTCGCAAGTTTCTGTGGTTCAGCGGCAGATCTTGGCCAGGGTCACCGAATCTTCCATGAAAGCAGCTGCCGTGCATGTGCGGGAGGTCTTGCAGGAGGCGCCCAGCCCAGATGGCCCCTTGATCCTATGTGCCAAGGACGAAACAATGAGTAGGGCACATAGGGCACTGAGTACGGCTTCTTTTTTCTGAAGGCTCAGCAGGGCGAAGATGCGGGAGCTTGGCTGGCGCGCGGCTTCTTTGTCACTGACAGCAGATTGATAGATTGAACTGGAGATGGGCGGCTGTCGGCAGTTGGCAGTTTCTTCTTGGATCGGTGGGGTGCCTGTCAGAGCACTTTCTGCTCCAGGTTGATATTTTTGTCGAGGAGTGGGAGCAACACAAGGACCGTGCCATTCGTCGCACGAGAACTCGTGCCTTAGCGGATTTGATGCAGTCCGCGATCGGCAGGCTGGCCTGCCCCATCTGCCGGAGTTCTTCGCTGACCCGCGGTGGGCGCCTCAGTGGCTGACAGCCGACAGCCAGTGGTTGGCGATGGTCTGCGCAGGCGCTTGGCTCCAGCACGAGGCTGGAGATTTGAAAGGCGCACTTCGCTGTTTGACTTGTTGGTCACGCAGGCGGCCTGGCAGGAAGGCGGGCCGCTGAGTTCAAGAATTCTTGTCAAGACAAGTTGCGTACCTTAAATGGGGGGGGGAGCAGCCACGCAATGTGAGCAAGTTGTTCAGTATTGCTGTGCAGCCTTCACTAGAGTGAGGCGATACTCCGTACAGCGCCAGGGCATAGTCAGCGCGCAGAATGCCGTTGGCTCCTTGGTTTTGGTTCACACCCCGCTCACGAGTGGGCACTCAGGTGAGGAGCCTCTTCCTCACCAGGCAGTTTGCGCCACACGTCTTGCCACTCGCCATATGGCCTGCATGGTGGCTCCTGCAAGGCGGCTGCTGCGCGGCCTGAGGAGTCCGGCCCCAGCCCAAGGTGAAGGCAGGGCTTGGCAGAACGGCACAGGCCAACTGCCAACACGCCCCTGGCCTTGGTGAAACTGCCCAAAGCCTTCGCATGACATGCTAGATCTGCTAAATACCCACACTCGCCGACACTGCCCGTCTTAGCTCCTTCGACCTGAGGGCTGCCTGCGTTTAGCACAAAGGCATAGGTTCTCACGTGGAGGTTCTCACGTGGGCCTCCATCCTTTTGTCCATCCTTTGTCTGGCGTTTGCGCGAGCGACGGCTCATTGTCTCCAGGACAGCCGTGGCTCCGCTACAGATGCTTAGCAGCACCAGCCAGTCCAAGTATTTGGGATTGGCCAAAGTCAAGGCTTCATAGATGTCATAGAGTGGACCATTCAATCGAGTCGTTGCCCGCATGTAGTGATCAGGCTTCCTTAGACAGCACGCATCGGTTCAAATTGTTCCAAGTCACTTCTAGGAAGGTACTGCAATCTGATGCTTTGCCGCATTTCATGTCAATCAATGGCATTGTGCATGTATGAGTGCACCGGCAGAGCAAAGAATAGTTTCGGAGGTAGCAATGCTGAGGAGGAAAACAACTTAAACAGAAACTCAGGTTTGGGGGTGCTTGGGTTTGCGTTTGAGTACGTTTTTCCATCACAAAGAGAACTAATAGAAGCTCCGGCCAGCTAGGTGTCGTCAAGATTCAATCGTCAGGGGCAAGTGGGCGAAGACACATGCAGCTGAAGTGGGTGAAGGCTTCCAGGCAAACAAAGTCTTTAAGGGGTTCACGGTTTATAGTCTTTGTTTTTAAAGGTTACTTCTCCATTTTTGTGCCATGTTTGACGTCAGCTGGATGTTCCCGGGCATCGGGGCTTGTAAGCATTCTCAAACATTATGTTGGGTAGTGCTTTCAGGACGGCGGTCAGCATATTAGACGTGTGCAAGATATTCCTTTTGGTCATTGGGTCCTCGTTTTTGTTGAGGACACCTTGCCGCAACCTTTGTGCAACCACTGCTTTTTCGACTCGGGGTGACGAGGGTGAAAGGATGCTTGCATCGCCCTTTTCCCAGGCGCGGAGCCTTTGCCACTGCAGCTCCCAGAGGAGGCTGGCACATGGTCGGTTGTCAACACTTTGGCTAAGCTACTGCGAACGGTCAAAACATGACTGATTCTGTCCCACGAGAATCAGCGAATCAGCGAGGGCCTGCATTCAGTGAGCCGCCATGACCTACGCAAGGCAAATTTTAGCAGACTCTGGGGCCCGTCAGGGCAACGGCATGTCAACATTTCCGTGAAGCCTGTCAGTAACAGACCAACTTGAGCCTCTCATGCCTCAGGCGTCCCGTCCATGCGAGGGCACCAGCCTGGACCTGGAGGAATGCAGCTGTGGCTCCTGGCTTGCTTGGGGGCGGGGGGTCAGTCGGCTCACCTGAAACAGCCAGCTGGCACGGGTTTCTTTGGCTTTTGGGCATTTGACGCTGACCTTAGAGCGCCGACCTTGCGCCTTGAACCAGTCCAGCCGCGTTTCCGAAAGCATCTTCCGCCGATTCGGACCGGCCCGGCCCCAGCGAAACTGACGCCAGCCCGTTGGCTCACGAGTCGGGGTCCGGCAAAGTGCGACGATGGACTCGGAGGCGGCCAAGTACACTTCTCTGTTGCAGCCCGGTTTGTGTTTATGGGTATGTCGGTATGTCTATTTTTGTTGGAGAGGCGCCAACAGGGAAGCAAACATTTTAGGGCTTCTATGTTGAGACGAGCCAATATAATGATTGTGGGCCATAAGGCCTCCTTGGTTTCAGCCCCGGAGCCTTCAGCTCAGGAAGAAGTGTGTCAAGCTCTTGGAGACCTTCAACCCAAAAGCAACCACCGTGGACGCGTACTTCGAGGATGCGCCCTTTCTGAAGGACCCTTTGCTCGGCGAGGTGGAGCTGAAGTTTATCCATCAAGTCTTCTATGGCTGCTACAGATACGGCAAGTTGCTGAAGCTCTTTGTGACGAGTCTGTTGTACAAGGCCCCGGCCACTGCCGTCCGATCTGAGCAAAGCTTGTACATGGTACTGGCCTACTTGCTCTTCTTCAGGCCAGATGGCTCATGCATGGTTGTACTTGCCTTAGCACTCGCATTGCTTTCTGGGTTTAGGCTTTGTCCCTGGAAGGCTGGAAGAACTTGGTATGGAAGACCTGCGCAAGTTCATCACCTGCGGCTACGGAACCCCACCGGCGATTTTCGCACTCCTGACGCTTGGCGAGGTTCAAGCATATTTCCTCTGGTGGCCCTTTTTGCCTTACTTTCTGCTTCATCATGTCTCCCGAGGCAGTATGCCCTGGACAAGGAGGAGATGAACAAATGGGTGATGGAAGAATGGCTAAAACACTACGATCCAGCCTATTTGGAGGAGGACAGTGGCCGAGAGGGTGCTGAACTGGCGTCAAAGTTGTGAGGTAGTCCTTGGACCATGTGTGTTTTAGACTCAGGATGTGATTGGAAGGCTGCACCGGAATGCGGATGCGCTGGCGCCCCTGATGACTGACATGGAAATAAAAGCCACTGGCACTATCAAGTCCTTGGGTACAGGTCCTCCTGGGACAGTGAAATCCAAGAAGAAGCCGACGGAGTTTACGCCTTTCAACCTCACAGCGGTGAAGCCAAGGCAATGGTTGTCGTGGTTGTCGTGGTTGTGGTTGTGGTTGTGGTTGTGGTTGTGGTTGTGGTTTGTTGTTGTTGTTGTTGTTGCTGCTGCTGCTGCTGCTGCTGCTGCTGTTGTTGTTGTTGTTGTTGTTGTTGTTGTTGTTGTTGTTGTTGTTGTTGTTGTTGTTGTTGTTGTTGTTGTTGTTGTTGTTGTTGTTGGTGTTGGTGTTGTTGTTGTTGTTGTTGTTGTTGTTGTTGTTGTTGTTGTTGTTGTTGTTGTTGTTGTTGTTGTTGTTGTTGTTGTTTTGTTGTCTGTTGTTGTTGTTGTTGGTGTGGTGTGTTGTTGTTGTTGTTGTTGTTGTTGTTGTTGTTGTTGTTGTTGTTGTTGTTGTTGTTGTTGTTGTTGTTGTTGTTGTTGTTGTTGTTGTTGTTGTTGTTGTCTGTTGTTGTTGTTGTTGTTGTTGTTGTTGTTGTTGTTGTCTGTTGTCTGTTGTCTGTTGTCTGTTGTCTGTTGACTGTTGTCTGTTGTTGTTGTTGTTGGTGGTGGTGGTGTTGTTATTGTTGTTGTTGTTGTTGTTGTCTGTTGTTTGTTGTCTGTTGTTG